GAGGTCTTATGCTGCGATTTGCTTAATGCAATATGGCATTTGATTACTTGATTGCTGCTAATGAGTTTTGATGATTGATCTACTTTCACAACTTCAATCTTTTTTCCACTTATCTTGATGTTATTATTGGTCCTATAGCGAGGATTACTATTTTATTTTTAATGAGGTGTAACCCATACTTAAGGTTGTGGTCTTTTACCTGCATTTGTAAGTATTTTAAGTTCACTTAGTTTTCAGCCAGCAAGGTTGTATCATCTGCATATCAGAGGTTGTTAATGATTTTTCCTCTTATCCTGACACTATGTCCTTCTTCATTTAATACATCTTCTTGGATTATGTGCTCAGCATACAGACGGAATAAGTATAGCGAAAGACTAAAACCCTGATCCACACCTTTCTCAATTTTTAATCCATTCTGGTATTCACTTGTCTGCTCAAACAACTGCCTCATGATCTCTGTATTGGTACCTCATGAGCACAATTAAGTGTTCTGGAATACTCATTGTCCACAATGTTGTAAATACCCTGTCATTATTCACACAATCGAAAGACTGCGTAATCAATAAAGCACACGTATACATTTTTCTGGTATTCCCTGCTGTCAATCAAGATCCATCTGACATCGGCAATGATATTGCTCACTTCACTTCCTCATCTGAATTCCACTTGAAGTTTTCTGCCAATGTAATGTTGGAGTAGTTTTTGAGTACATTAACAAAATTTTTCTTTCATGCAATATTAATGATATTGCCCAATGTTTTCTGCATTCAACTAAGTCATCTCTCTTTAGATATGACACAAATGTGGGTCTCTTCCAATCAGCTGGTCAGATAGCTGTCTTCCAAATTTCTTGGCTTAGATGACTAAGTGTTGAATCAGTGTTGAATTAGCTTGTTGAAAGACTTCAATTTGTAGTCCATAAATTCCCGGTATCTTGTTCTTTGCCAACGCCTTCCATATACCTTGGACTTCTTCCTTCAGAGTCATTGGTTCTTAATTATATGCTCCAACTTGAAATGCTTGACCATCAACCATTTCTTTTTGGTACAGTGACTCTGTGTATTCCTTCCAACTTCTTTGATGCTTTCTACATCATTCATACTTTTACCTATAGAATCCTTTTATATTGCAATTATTCATTCAGTTCTCACAATTTATGAATTATTGAGTGTGTTCTTCCCTTTTGGTTTTCTAACTCCAGATCTTTACACATTCCATTATAATATTTGACTTTGTCTTCTCAAGCTATCCTTTGAAATTTTCTATTCATCTCTTTTATCTACTTCCATTTGCCTTACAATCTCTACACTGGAGAGCAAGTTTCAGAGTCTCTTCTGACATCTATTTGATCTTTTATTTCTTTCTTGTCTTCTAAATTATATTTTGCTTTCTTCCTATATGATGTTCTTGATGTAAATCCACAATTCTTCTGATCTTCTGTCATTAATGTCTACTTAATCAAATCTGGTTTTGAGACAATCTCTAAATTCAGATGGGATAGATTCAAGGTCATATTTTGTCTTCATTGACTTGTTTTCATTTCCTTCAACTTCAGCATGAACTTGTATATGAACATTTGTGTCTGTTTCACAATTTTCCCCTGGCCTTGTTTAAAGAAAATACTTAAAGACACCTATTATCCATTTAAGGGGAACACTGAAGGCATGAGTGAAAAATATGGCTCCAGTAATTGATGGAATATAAACAAATATTTAAACAAATTCATGCAGCACTGGAAGCACTCAGTTATCTATGCCAACACATTTGGAAGACAGCTACCTGGCCAAGTGTTTGAAAGAAATTCATATCAAACATTATCATTAATATTGCATGCAAGTAAAATTTTGCTTATGATAATTTAAAAATAGTTTTAGGAGTACATTGACAGGGAACTACCAGAAATTCAAGCTGGATTCAGAAGAGGATGTGAATGCAGGGATATAATTTCTAACATCAAATGGATCTTGGCTAAAAGCAGAGAATGTTAGAAAGATGTCTACTGATGCTTTGGTGACTGTGCAAAGGCTTTCAAATGTGTGACAAATTATGGATAACATTGGAATAATGGGTATTCCAGATTACTTCAGTATGCTCATGAGGGACTTGTACATAGACAGTGATTTAAACAGATGAGGGGAAACTGAATGGTTTAAAATCAGGAAAGGCATGTCCCAGGGTTTTATCCTTCCACTGTATTTATTAAATCTGTATGGTGAACAAATAATCCGAGATTATATGAAGAAGCACATATCATCAAGGTTAGAGGAAGAGTCCTTGTTAGCCTTCAGATGATACAACTTTGCTTGCTAGAAGTGAAAATGACTTAAAATAATTACTGATGAAGAGCAAAGACTAAAGACTTCAGTATTGATTGTACCTCTATGTAAAGAAAACAAAGATTCTTACAACTGGATTTATAAATAAAATGATAAATTGAGAAAATATGGAAGCTGACAAAGACTTCAGTTTCCTTGGATATGCAAGGATTATGGAAGCAACAGTCATGAACACAAATGACTTATTGTATTAGTCAAATCTGCTGCACAAGAACTCTTTAAACTGTTCAAGATCAAGACAGTAGTTTGAGGATTAAGGTGTCCCTGATCCAAACCACAGTATTTTCAATCACCTAATATGCATGTAATAGTAGGGCAATGAATAAGGAAGACTGTTACAAGAATTGATGCATTTGAATTACATGATGGAAAAGAATATTAAAAGTGCCATCAACTTGATGATCTGCTCTGTAAATCTTTACTCAATTCACAATAAAAATTAAAAGCCAAATAAACTAGCAAAAACTATGGGACAGTTCTATTCTGTCACACTGATAAATAAGAAAAAAATAAAACAAAACAAAAGATCATGGATTGCCAGAAGAACAAACAAATCTTGATGATGACACTTTGTCTCTAATACTTGGAACATATTATTAGGAGCAATCAGTTCCTGGAGAAGAACACCATACATAGTAAAGTGGAGTGTCAGCAAAAACGAGGAAGACCCCAAACAAAATGGATTGACACAGGGCTCAAACATAACAAAAATTGTAAGAATGGTGCAGACCTGGGTTGTGTTTCTTCTGCTATACACAGGGTCACTATGAGTTGAAATTTACTTAATGGTGCGCAACAACAATAATAAATAATACAGGTGTGAGAAGATGGTGCTTTGGAGTAGGGTGATGGCAGAGATGATGGTAAGAAATGATTAGATTTTTGAAATATTTGGACAAAAACCTAATATGATTCAGTGCGATATATAAAACGTCATCAAATTTTACACTAAGAGTTTTGATTTGAACCACAGAAATGGAGAAGACTACAGGAGAACCTGGGTTGAGGAAGAATATGAAAAAATATATACAAACATACAATATGAATAAGAATTCGGAGAATTTAATATCCTAATTTATTGCTCCCCTAGAATGTCCAGAACTTACCATAGTAGTCAGATACAAACATTTAAAATAATATACAAAATTATACAAATGCTATTACATACAACACTATAAAGTAGGTAAAATATAACTTGAATAAATCTTCTGTGACTTTTACAATTTTAAAACTAAAAGATATATGCTATTTAATTATAATTTAATTAAAAGGAAGAGTGTGCTATAGTAGAATAAGTACAAGTCATTTGCTAGTGTAAGTTGATTTTTAATTATTTTACTGTTGCTTGCTGATTATGAAATCTTGGGTGGGAACATTCTATACATATTTTAAAATTTAGTGTCCCCCCTCTTTAAATATGATCTATGTGTTCATGTCTCTGTGTTGTTGATGTTAGTTCCTTTCAACAGTAATCTATCTAGTAAATGTGTAATTTGCAATGTTACAACAATTTTTTTAAATGAAGGAAATCATATATTTAAGCAAATCTTAGTAATTTCAAAGTTGTAAACCTATCTATAACTCACACCCACAGTATCCATCATATACAAACCTAAGAATACATACAGAAACACATTCGCACACACACACACATTCTTAACAGATGCACATGTTTGGTTTAAACTCCCAACAGAGTTTTAAATATAGGGTGGTGGTTATGTGCCCTGGAGTTAGTTCCGACTCATAGCGACCCTGTACAGGGTTTCCGAGGCTGTAAATCTTTAAGAGAGTAGAAAGTGTCATCTTTCTCCCATAGAACAGTTGGGAGTTTCGAACGGCTGACCCTGAGGTTTGCAGCCCAATTCGTAACCACTACGCTACCAGAGCTTCTTAAATAATAGGGTAGCACTGTTCTATTTGACACACTAAAAGGATATATATGTTTCAGTTTCATAAACTAAGTCAAAAGAAAATTTTGAGCGAAATTTTAAAAATTATTTGAGCAATAGGAATATAATTAGATTAAAGATATCACCTCTACAGGTAACTGTTTTCATTTAGAAGTATAGTATCTGTTGTGGCAGTTTTAAAAATATCAATGTCAGTTTATAATTATACAAGGAATATTATACACTGGCTTAAAGGACTTGCTTGGGTAGTTCATGGATACATTTTTATACTTATTTGTATCACACTATTGTATCACAATATTACTATGGGTGATTAATTAAATTTAGTTTTTATACATAGTGAAACAAGATGTTTAAATACCTGAAAATAAGACTCAACTAAGACAAAAGATGTTTCCAGTAGTTATAGAAGCAGCTGGTAAATGAAGCTATCATCATATCTCAGGTGGTAAAAAAGTTCCTGAAGGCTAATGCATTTCATTAGAACATTCAGAGCATGGAATTAATTGTAGAGTGGATGCTCCTTATTCTATAAATGGAAATACTTCCATGTTTAGAAACGCAGCTATGACATACGATGCATCTCTTCTCCAAAGCAATACAAAAAAACCCACTTAAAACGTAATTTAAGGATTCAAATAAAACTATAACAATTTTCTGACTGACAACTGTAAAATACACTTCACTTTAAAAAGTTAATGATGTTCCTACTTTAAATTAAATAGAAATTATTTTCAGAACATAGAAACTTTACCTGCTGAAGTTGGCTCTTCTTCATCTGATGCTATGAAGTACAGAAGAGGCAGGAGGAAGTGGGATTGGAAAGGAGAGAGAAAGAGAAAGAGAATTTAAGACTGTGATTGGTCATAAAATGCAAATATATTCCACATTTCCAAACAATGACAATAAATCCTTGGTTTGCTAATTTATGCACAGGCATACCTGACTTTATAGTACTTCATTTTGTTACACTTCCCAAATATTATGCTTTTGTTTAATTGATAGGTTTTGACAACCTTGCATAAAGTAAATCTATGACTCCATTTTTCCAAATAACATGTGTTCACTTCATGTCTCTATATCACATTTTGGTAATCCTTTCGAAATTTCAAAAATTTTCATAATGTTATTACATATGTAATAGAGTACAGACGAGTGCAAATATATCTTTTATATGTACTTGGAAACCAAATAACTTGTATGACTCATTTTATTACAGCATTTTTTTTTATTGTGAGGTGTGAAACCAACCTCCACTATTTCTGATGGATGTCTGTGTATATAAGGGGAATTTAAAAAGTTAGTGGAAAAATAGAACTAAAAGATAATGGAATTTTCATATGAACTTACTGCAGCTCCTTCATATTACAAATTTAATGATAGGCATTTAATTAAAATTTCAACATCTTTCTTATACCTCAAAAATATTCATTCATTAGAAAATACACTTTTCACTTTCTGATATTATTTTCCTTTCCATTTGCAAACAAATTTGATTTTAGTTAACACCATGGTGTGGCACAGTAGGCTAATGTGGCAGATTGGAAAGTCATTTGGTGGTTCAAGCTCACCAGCTGCTCCTTGGAAACCCTGTACACGGTCACAGTGGGTTGGAATCAACTTGACAACACTTAACAACAGCAATAATGTACATTATTTAAAATTACTATATAAATAACATTATTTGAGCTCTGGTAGCATAGTGGCTACAAATCGGGCTGCGAACAGCAGTTCAAAACTACCAGCTGCTCCACAGGAGAAAGATGAGGCTTTCTGCTCCTGTAAAGATTTACAGCCTCAGAAACCCTGTTCAGGGTCGCTATGGGCCGGAACTGACTCAACGGCAGTTAACAACAACAGCACATAAAATATAGTTAGTCAAACACATCATGGAAATTTTCTATGAGGAATTAAGAGTTAAAAAGTATTCACTCAACAGATACAAAATGAAAAATACAAAAACAGAGAAAAGATCAGTGGTTGCTTGGAGCTCAGCAAGGAAGGGAAACAGGTGAATAGACGGAGCATACAGCCACTCCGTGGTAAAAGATGAGGCTTTCTACTCCCATAAAGATTTACACCCTCGGAAACCCTGTACAGGGTTACTATAGGCCGGAACCAATTCGACGGCACTTAACAACAACAAGGGCATTTTTAGAGCAGTCAAACAATTCTATATGATACTAAGTTGGTGAATACATGACATTATGCATTATTTGATACAAATAGAAATGTACAACAACAACAAAAAAGAACTCTTTTTGTATCAACTATGAACACTCACAGATGCAGCAGTGAAGAGATCAAACAACGT